GGCTGGCTGAGTCGGTAGAGCATGTGACTCTGGATCTAGGGCTGTGAGTTTGAGCCCCACGTAGTGTCGATCTTACCAAAAAAGAATCGTTACATGGAAGTTCAAAGATCACTGAGCTAGGGGCGCCTGGGTGGCTCAGTCGGTTGAGCGTCCGACCTCGGCTCGGGTTATGATCTCAACAGGTCACGAGTTTGAGCCCCGCGTCGGGCTGGGTGCTGACGGCTCAGAGCCTGGAGCCTGCTTCGGGTTCTGTCTCCCTCTCTGTCTGCTCCTTCCCTGCTCACACTCTACCTCTCTAAAAATTAAATAAAACCATTAAAAAAAATTAAAAACAACAAAAAAAATCACTGAGGTAAATATCAACACTCCATTTTCCCAGAACACCTGTATTAAAGGAGATTTCTCCACTCAACTTCAGCAGTGGAAAGTAAGCCTCAAGTGTTTTCTAGTTGTTGAGGTCCTGACTATATCACCGCTCTACTCACCTGGATGGTCTATTAAGAGCCTACATCTCTCAGAAAATAAACATTCTTTTGTGACTGCTTTGCGGTGCCTGTATGCTCAAACCATCCGCACTGGTTTTACCTCTCACACCAAATTCTTCTCCTGGAAAAGACCTCTTTCATGGACAGGGAAGTTCCTCGGGCCACTCAGGCATATCTTTCATTGGCTTATCTTATTGGAGACAAAAGAGAAAGCTGAACGAAACAAAGAGCGTTTAACGGGCGGGCGGCCTCAACTGTCTGCAAGCAGCAAGAATCAGAAGGGCCTACAGTTACCCGCCTCAAGGCTATACAGATAGAGTCAGTATCTTAAGATACCTGGCATTAATGAAAGATTCAGGTGTTTAGGCTGATAGGAGGGAATACTTTCTCTATTTATGCAGCTTAAAGGCAAGAAAATTATCATTTTCCCTTCTCACTTTGATTTTTTTCACTAACAAAATCTAAATACAGAACTTCTTCCACACTTTAAAATCCAGGGCTGTTTTCCTGGTAGGAAATAGCAACGAGGCACTGGAAAGAAAATTTTTTGAGTCTAGAAACATAGGCTCAAACTGCTAATTACATTTATAAGATCAAATATTTAATAAGTTACTTTACCTCCCTAAATCTCAATCTTATCTGTAAAAGTGGGTACTTAGAAGGTGCTCAACAAAATTTAACTGTTTTTTTTTTTTTTTTAAGTTTTATTTTTATTTGAGACAGAGACACACAGCAAGCAGGGGAGGGACAGAGAGAGAGGGAGACGAATCCCAAGCAGGCTCTGAACTGCCAGCAGAGCCTGACGTGGGGCTTGAAGATACCCCATGAAGATGCTCAACAAAATTTAATTTCTATGCCCTAGGGATATGACCTCCTCTATACTTGAAGATACGACATGAGGCCCAATGACTCACAGACTTAAGTAGCAGGACAGAGAAGACTATAAATGTTAACTGGTGCTCTTGAAAAGAAAAATATGTATGTGCTTGAGGCATCTTCCTTTTTTTTTAATTTTTTTTTCTTTTAACATTTATTTATTATTGAGAGACAGAGCATGAGCATGGGAGGGGCAGAGAGAGGGGGAGACACAGAATCTGAAGCAGGCTCCAGGCTCTGAGCCGCCTGCACAAAGCTGGACGCGGGGCCCGAACCTACAAACCGTGAGATCACAACCTGAGCCGAAGTCCGATGCCTAACCGACTGAGCCACCCATGCGCCCTCTGAAGCGTCTTCCTTCTTGCAGTGAGGAGTAAAATAAGAGCTATTTGATCCTTTTCTGGGTATGACAAAAAAAAAAAAAAAGAAGAGTAGCCAATAAAAGAGTATTCAACAAAAGGAAACAGACATTTTGGAGATCAGAAAAAAAAAATCAGAAGCTAGATCTCTGAGTTTTTCGGTAACGTTTCTTAATTCTCTCTTAAAAAAATCGTTTTTTAATGTTTATTTATTTTTGGGACAGCGACAGAGCGCAAGCAGGTAAGGGCAGAGAGAGAGGGAGACACAGAATCCGAAGCAGGCTCCGGGCTCCGAGCTGTCAGCACGGAGCCCAACGTGGGGCTCAAACAGTGCGATCATGACCTGAATCAAAAGTAGGACACTTAACCGACTGAGCCACCCAGGCGCCCCTAATTCTTTTTAAAAGCTCAGGCTTATTGAGACATCATAATTCACACATCACATAATCCACCTTTTTAAAGTGCATACTTCAGTGGTTTTGATTCAGAGTTGTGTAACCACTGCCACAATCAATATTAGAACATTTTTATCATCTCCCCCCTAGAAAACCCATATCCATTAACAGTCTCTCTGCCCCCAACTAATTTACTTTTTGTTCCTAATTTGCCTGTTTTGGACTTTTCGTATAAATGAAGTCATACAATATATGATCTTTTGTGACTGGCTTCCTTCATTGAGCATCATGTTTTTAAGGTTCATTCGTGTTTGAAGCCTGTGTTTGTACTTGGTATCTTTTCACGGCCAAATGATAATCTACTTGTTTATCCACTTATCAGTTGGTGGACATTTGATTTTCCCCCCTTTTTGCTATTATGAACAAAGCTGCTGTGAACTTTTGTGTACAAGTTTTCGTGTGAACGTGTTTTCAGTTCTCTTGGGTGTACACTTAGGAATGAACTGTTGGGCCCTGTGGCAGCTCTTTGTTCAACATTAAGAAGCGTTAGGCTGCTTTCCAAAGCAGCAGCACCATTCTGTGTCACTGCCAGCAGCGTGGGGGGGAGGGTTCCAACTTCTCCATATCCTCTTTGTTCTAACAGCTTCAGACAGACATGTTATAGAACATACAGACATTGTGTAGCTACAGGTCCCCCTAAAGATCTGTGTTATTTCTTTTTTGGTTTAATGTTTATTATTTAGAGAAAGAGAGAGATGTTTATTTAGTGAGTGCATGTGTCTGCTCACAAGCAGGGGAGGGGCAGAGAGAGAGGGAGAGAAAGAATCCCAAGCAGGCTCCACGCTGCCGCTGCAGAGCCCGACTTGGGGCTTGATCCCAGGAACTGTGAGATCATGACCTGAACTGAAATCAAGAGTCCGGTGCTTAACCGAATGAGCCACCCAGGCACCCCATGGTATGTGTTATTTCTAAAGTGGTATACCTCTGAAAAATACCCCCAGGTGGAAACTGGAAAGCTCAGTACTACAGAACAGCAAGACTTAGGCTCTAACTCCACAGTAACAGTGTTCCAGGTAACTTGATGGACACCTCATATTGAGAGCACCACTAAGAATCTCATGGGGAGTTGTAGGTGGGAAAAGTCTGTTACTCAACTGATCATACACCTAGATGCAAAAAATACTCCAGAAAAGCACACAGCAAGATATACAAATGCAAATTAATATGGTACTGTGTTCTAAGTTTTGAGACAAATTGTATTTGGGAGCATTGAAATCAGAAGACAAAGCAACAAAACTCGATAACCTAGAGTTGAATGGAGTTTGGGAAGGCATCATTATCCTGGCTTCTCGAACGGTTATACAAACAGTTGAATACTGCTCAGGTAATTCCCTTTTATCATACTCTAATGAAATAAATGGATATACTGAAAGTTGGAAGAAACCAGAACCAGATATTTGATTGTCCAAGGTAATTAATCTTTCCCAAGAGATCGTTTGAGAACTCTGACCAAATTTTCCTTGCCCATTCTTGACTTTACTGATCTTATTGTAAGCTCCAACTTTATGTGTTCATAGCTGGGCCTGTCTCAAAATCCAATGAAACATGGATGAATCTTGAAAACATCATGCAAAGTGAAGTAAGCCAAATACAGACGGACAGATATTTTATGGTTCCACTTATATAAGGTACCTAGAATAGGCAAATTCAGAGAGACAGAAAGTAGATTAGAGACTACCCATGACTGGGGGTGGCAAAAGGGCAATGAGGAGCTAAGATTTAACAGGAACAGAGTCTCTGGGGTGAAGAAAAAGTTCTTAAAATGGACAGTGGTGATGGTTTCACAACAATGTGAATGTACTTAAAGCCACTGAATTATATAGTTAAAAATGGTTAAAATGTTAAATTTTGGGAAAAAATTAAAAAGGAAAAGGAAAACAAAAAGGGAAAGAAGGGGGGAAATGGTAAATTTTGTGTTATGTATATTTTGCCACAATGAAAAAAAATCCAATGTAACAGACAAATTAAAAATGGCACAAGAGGGGCGCCTGGGTGGCGCAGTCGGTTAAGCGTCCGACTTCAGCCAGGTCACAATCTCGCGGTCCGTGAGTTCGAGCCCCGCGTCGGGCTCTGGGCTGATGGCTCAGAGCCTGGAGCCTGTTTCCGATTCTGTGTCTCCCTCTCTCTCTGCCCCTCCCCCGTTCATGCTCTGTCTCTCTCTGTCCCAAAAATAAATAAACGTTGAAAAAAAAAATTAAAAAAAAAAAATGGCACAAGAGATCCTTTTGGGTTATGGAAATGTTCTAAACCTGGATTGTGGTAATAGCTTTACAACTCTGTATACTTACTAAAAAAAAAAAATCACTAAACCATAAACTTAAATTATACTCCATAAAGCTGTGAAAATAATATTCAATATAAACTTGTCACACAAAAATTCCTCTCCAAAAAGCCAAACAAAAATTCTATAAAATAGGGGCGCCTGGCTGGCTCAGTCAGTGGAGAGTGCAATGCTTAATCTCAGGG